CCCCTGTATGCTGTGCAGGGTTCTTCATCTTCCTGTGGTTTGTGAAGTCACTGAGAAAGGGTAAAAGCTCCGCCCCTAAGATAAGCAGTGAAGCAACTTCCCCCAACAGAAAGCTTGACAAAAACGAACAGCTCAAGAACTGAGTTGTTGGAATTTTTGTCTGATATTATTATTTCTGCTTTAGGTTGTTTACAGCGACCGATTTTTAAATGATTTAAATGAATGTGATATTTGTGAAATTTTTAAAGGCACTATTTAAATGTTATGTTTGATGCTTTGTGATTATAACAGACTATACATCCAGTGTAAAATAGGGCACTTCTGGGAGTGAAAGTGAAAAATGCTGATATGATGCATCTTCATTCATTTTGTGTGTGAACCAACTGCCATTGGTTTCAGTAGCCTGAGTAATTTTGATATTGTCATGCAGATTACACCATCACTGTTGTGTTTTGCTGTATACTTATATCCTATTTCATGTGATATTTGAAATATCTTTCCTATATCTTCTTATCACATATATAAGATAAAATATATGAATCCTTTCAATAAAATCATGTATATTTGAACCTCTATTTGCACACATTGTGAGTTGCATACATTCACATTTCACTAAAATCTGTGTTTATGAATGCAGTCATAATGCTGCCTGATGTTTTGAACTATTGAACATTTATTCCAACTGCAGCTATAAAGACAGAACCTTCTTTAACAGGCTGAAATTTAAATATGACAGTTATGTAAGTGGCTAAAGTAAATAGCTTTTATCAAAAGATAGTCCAAGTTTAAACTATACTCTTTCTGTACACATTGGTGTTTCTGCCTCAGGTCATTGGTGTAGTTGATGATAGGGAGTTGGTTTAACCACATTCAGGTCTCTAAAAGCATCACTTACACTTAAAATTGTCCGGACATTAAACTCAGCCTACGGTAACCAGATGCCAAGAAATAAAGCTCCTACAATAATACAGTAAACAGAGAAAAGCCCAACAATCATATGACTCCCTATGAGCATAATAACTAATGATTAAATGCAGAGACGTGTATAAACACGTAGTGAATGAAAAGGGTGGCTGAAGAAAAAGCACTCACTGATGTGCTGTTTGAGTGAGTCAAGATATTTAACAGTAACAGCTTTGAAAGTTATAACACATGGTGACACAAGGTATATGTCAAGCTTTTAT